CCGCCCAGACCCCCCTGAGGAGTCATGATGCTCTCTTTTGAGACCACTAGAAACCTATCAGCAAAAGCTGTTAGGTAACAAACCAATCAACAAACAAGTAAATGAATGCATGCATAGATGCATGAATAGAGACAAACATAAATGAATACATAACATTTCGGCATTCGCTGCTCAGGATCCACGCCCGCCGCGGGCTGCTGCCTTGGAGCTGCCTTTCACTCCTGTCCGCGTCGGCGTGGGCGTCTGGCATTGTCATTCCCGCGTGCATCGATCGTGCTGGAATCTGGTGATTTTGCACATGCGTCAACTATTATCCCGGCAAAGCAACCTAACAGCGATGTGTAGGAGCATATCTGGAAGCATTCCCCTTAAGATTCAGATGAGAATCCAGTTGTAGAATTGTGCTGTTCTCGCAGTCGTAGTCGCATTCGCGATGACAGTCGCAGTGGCAACGGCAGTCACAGACACAGCCTCAGCCTCAGCCTGCCTCAGCCTCAGCCTCAGCCTGCCTCAGCCTCAGCCTGCCTCAGCCTCAGCCTCAGCCTGCTTCAGCCTCAGCCTCAGTCTGCCTTCAGCCTCGGCGTCAGCCTCAGGCTGCCTCAGCCTCAGCCTGCATCAGCCTCAGCCTCAGCCTCAGCCTGCCTCAGCATCAGCCTGCCTCAGCCTCAGCCTCAGCCTGCCTCAGCATTCAAAATGTGGCCCGGGAATGGAGTTCTGGGAACTCGAAGAACACGAAGTGGCCTACAGTTGGCTCCGGGCATTCAAAATCATGCCCAGGAATGGAGTTCTGGAAACTCGAAGACCACGAAGTGGCCTACAGTTGGCTCCGGGCATCCAAAATCTGGCCCGGGAATGGAGTTCTGGGAATTCGAAGACCACGAAGTGGCCTACAGTTGGCTCCGGGCATCCAAAATGTGGCCCGGGAATGGAGTTCTGGGAACTCGAAGAGCACGAAGTGGCCTACAGTTGGCTCCGGGCATTCAAAATGTGGCCCGGGAATGGAGTTCTGGGACTCGAAGACCACGAAGTGGCCTACAGTTGGCTCCGGGCATTCAAAATGTGGCCCGGGAATGGAGTTCTGGGAAGTCGAAGAGCACGAAGTGGCCTACAGTTGGCTCCGGGCATTCAGAATGTGGCCCGGGAATGGAGTTCTGGGAGGTCGAAGAGCACGAAGTGTGTGACTGTTGGCTTAAAACGACTTCTGCGGCACCCTGTCCGGCACCCGCCCAGACCCCCCTGTGGAGTCATTTGCTGCTCTCTTTTGACCCTACTAGAAACCTATCAGTCTTCGCTGTTAGGTAAAAAGGTCAAGAAATATTCAAAAAGTAGCCCCCAGACTATTTTGGGGTTTTCTTTAAATATTTCTGGATATTTTAATTTTTCGTTGAAAATCCCCCTGTAGGGGGACACGCCCGACTTAACCCTAAGGTCAGCACAGCACGGAGATAAAAGGGGTCTGGAGGGAAAGGGGGCCCGAGGTTTTTTGCCGTCGTCGACCAGCGGGAGCCGTTCCGGGCCCTGGGGCCGTCAGAAAACAAATCAGGATGAGGAGCAAGGTCCAGTGGAGGCTCTGGGGTCCAGGGCTCCTGTCCCCGTCAGGACCCCTTTCCTGGATGCCACCAGGGGAGGCCGACTTTGGCGTACCCACGGTTTCCGAGCTTGGCACATTGCTCCCGAGTGGTACTGTGACCCTAGTGTTTGTGCTGGTCGCGCCTGGCATGTGACGATGGAGGAGAGATGTGTGCAACGCTTATTCCCCAGACAGTGCGGCCTTGGCGTCGGTCCAGCCGGCTTGTCACTGTCGCCGCCCGTCGCCGCCGCCCGTCGCCGTTGCTTCTGGGCCTGTGTGTCGGTCGCCGCGCTTGCTGTCGCCGTCGCCGCCCGTCGCCGCCGCCCCGTAATGGGCCTGGGTGTCGACCTGGCTGGCTTGTCGCCGCCGTCCGTCGCCGCTCCATTGCGTTTGGGTGTCGGTCGCCGCGCTTGTTGTCGCCGTCGCCGCCTCGTCGCCGCCCGTCGCTGCCGTGCGTAGCCCGTGCTTCTGGGCTTGAGTGTCGGTCGCCGCGCCGGTTGTCGCCGCCACGGTCCGTCGCCGCTGCACTGGGTTGAACCACATGACTTACACCGCATAGATTGCACTGCATTGATTGCACTACTTAGATTGCGCACCATATAGAGTGCACCACACAGCTTACACCACATAGATTGCAGCACGTAGATTGCACCACATAGCTTACACCACATAGACTCCAACACTGATATTGCACCACAGTGTATGCTAGAGCACACTGTTTGGGGTCCACGCTGGCTAACATGGTTTACTGCCATTCCAAAAGCGCCTCTAGTCGGAGCAGCTGGCTTCGAATGCCGTTGTAGCAGTGCCTCGGTCCAGGGGTCCCTTGTCCGCGTGGAAAAATGGGGTATGGACGGAATTGGTCAGGGCGCACTTCGACAAAGCGAGCAGCGCACCAGGGCGCGGCGCTCAGAAAGAGATGTAATTGCGCGATGCTCCCGCCTTATACAATGTCTCCGGGGCTGCCTCCGAACCCCAGCAGGAGGGAGGAGCGAACGATCGAGGGGCTCGGAGCCCGTCTCCTCCTCCTTCGCATCCTGCGTAACAGCGTTTATGCTCACTGGTCCTCCCCCGCTTCCCTCCCTCCTTGGCGCCCTCCTTCGCCTGCCCGTTTTCTACTTGTCTTCCGCCCCCGTCAGCGGCGCGAAGGCCGTTGGGGGGTAGGGTAGCGCCACGTGGACGGTGCCGATGGCCACAGCATCGAGCATCGAGGGGGGGCTCGGGCGAAGAAGGCCAACACTCCAGACGAGTTCCACCGAAGGAGCATGGCGTCCGCGCTCCGATCCGCTGGGCGATCTCGGTCTCGGCGTCACCGGCCAGTGCGACGCACCAGAATGTTGCACTTGTCTGACTTGAGTTCCGACGAATTATCTTCCTCCTCTTCTCGTTATCTTCGCCTCGGCTTGGGCACGTCGCTGGGGCTCGTGCGCGTCCGTCGGCTGCGAGGCCATACACGAGTGACGGGGGCCTGTGCCGCACCGTCGCAAGTACCGGGACATCGCACCGAATTTTGTGCAATTTAATGGTTCAACAGGCGCGGGTGTCACGTTATCGATTCCGGTTCTCGTTTCGACCATCGTAGTTGTGCATGCTGATTTCTTTTACGACGCCATTGGGTAGAAGATGGTTGGGAAGCCGTCGACGTTTGCTAGCATTAAGTCGAGCCTGTCCCCCTACAGGGGGAATATTCAAAACAGTCAAAAAATAGTCAGGGGACGATGGAGGAGAGATGTGTGCAACGCTTATTCCCCAGACAGTGCGGCCTTGGCGTCGGTCCAGCCGGCTTGTCACTGTCGCCGCCCGTCGCCGCCGCCCGTCGCCGTTGCTTCTGGGCCTGTGTGTCGGTCGCCGCGCTTGCTGTCGCCGTCGCCGCCCGTCGCCGCCGCCCCGTAATGGGCCTGGGTGTCGACCTGGCTGGCTTGTCGCCGCCGTCCGTCGCCGCTCCATTGCGTTTGGGTGTCGGTCGCCGCGCTTGTTGTCGCCGTCGCCGCCTCGTCGCCGCCCGTCGCTGCCGTGCGTAGCCCGTGCTTCTGGGCTTGAGTGTCGGTCGCCGCGCCGGTTGTCGCCGCCACGGTCCGTCGCCGCTGCACTGGGTTGAACCACATGACTTACACCGCATAGATTGCACTGCATTGATTGCACTACTTAGATTGCGCACCATATAGAGTGCACCACACAGCTTACACCACATAGATTGCAGCACGTAGATTGCACCACATAGCTTACACCACATAGACTCCAACACTGATATTGCACCACAGTGTATGCTAGAGCACACTGTTTGGGGTCCACGCTGGCTAACATGGTTTACTGCCATTCCAAAAGCGCCTCTAGTCGGAGCAGCTGGCTTCGAATGCCGTTGTAGCAGTGCCTCGGTCCAGGGGTCCCTTGTCCGCGTGGAAAAATGGGGTATGGACGGAATTGGTCAGGGCGCACTTCGACAAAGCGAGCAGCGCACCAGGGCGCGGCGCTCAGAAAGAGATGTAATTGCGCGATGCTCCCGCCTTATACAATGTCTCCGGGGCTGCCTCCGAACCCCAGCAGGAGGGAGGAGCGAACGATCGAGGGGCTCGGAGCCCGTCTCCTCCTCCTTCGCATCCTGCGTAACAGCGTTTATGCTCACTGGTCCTCCCCCGCTTCCCTCCCTCCTTGGCGCCCTCCTTCGCCTGCCCGTTTTCTACTTGTCTTCCGCCCCCGTCAGCGGCGCGAAGGCCGTTGGGGGGTAGGGTAGCGCCACGTGGACGGTGCCGATGGCCACAGCATCGAGCATCGAGGGGGGGCTCGGGCGAAGAAGGCCAACACTCCAGACGAGTTCCACCGAAGGAGCATGGCGTCCGCGCTCCGATCCGCTGGGCGATCTCGGTCTCGGCGTCACTGGCCAGTGCGACGCACCAGAATGTTGCACTTGTCTGACTTGAGTTCCGACGAATTATCTTCCTCCTCTTCTCGTTATCTTCGCCTCGGCTTGGGCACGTCGCTGGGGCTCGTGCGCGTCCGTCGGCTGCGAGGCCATACACGAGTGACGGGGGCCTGTGCCGCACCGTCGCAAGTACCGGGACATCGCACCGAATTTTGTGCAATTTAATGGTTCAACAGGCGCGGGTGTCACGTTATCGATTCCGGTTCTCGTTTCGACCATCGTAGTTGTGCATGCTGATTTCTTTTACGACGCCATTGGGTAGAAGATGGTTGGGAAGCCGTCGACGTTTGCTAGCATTAAGTCGAGCCTGTCCCCCTACAGGGGGAATATTCAAAACAGTCAAAAAATAGTCAGGGGACGATTTCGGGTGTATTTGTTTGACAGTGTTGGTGTATCTTTCTGTATTTTTGATTTTTCGTTGAAACTCAGGCTGTAGGGGGACAGGCCCGACCTCATGCTACCACTCCTCCCACTCCTGCCCCCTGTGGCCCAGCTCTCACGGAAGGGGAGGCGCCGTGTTGACACCGTGGCGGGACCGGGTCTCCGCCGTTGCCACCATGTTCTTGGGGGGCGAGAAGACCGCCGACGCTTGGACGGACGTGATCTTCGGAGGGGCCGGAGCAAGCGGTGGCCAAAGCACGGCGGCATCACAGCCAGTACAGTCAGAAGTGCCACTCTTCGGGGGCCTGGAGACGGGGGTCAATGCAAGCGGGGGTCAGCCAGAGCCCCCGATCTTGCAGGATCCTGCAGGGCCAGGGTCGCATTGACCCGGGTTTGGGCGCAGGATCCTGCAGGATTTTGCAGGATCCTCCGCATTGACCTTGGTTTGGGTGCAGGATCTTGCAGGATTCTGCCAGGCCTGGCTGACCCAGGTCTGGATTGACCTGGGTCAGAAGATCCCCGAATTTTGGGCTCGGAAGGGGCTCTGAGATTTCTGGGTCGCTCCTCAGGTTTGGGTCGGGGGTTCTGTTCGTGGCCAAGGCTCGCCGTGGCCAGAAGAGCCTCCTCTTTCGTCATCTGTCGTTCCTAGTGGCAGTGCGTGGGCTGGTATGCATGCTCCAGAAGTTGTCCGTCCCCGGCGTCCGTGGCGATGCGGCAGCGATGCAGGTTGACAGCGGCTTTGCAGAAGCCGCCGGTATCAGATGTTGGGTTGGCGACGCACCCGCCGACCGTATTTTCTATGCTCGAGCTGTGCCGCCAGTCTCTCAGTCATGGATTGGGGCAGATTGCATTGAGCAGAAGAGGAAGAGGAGAAGGGGAGGCAGGGGAAGGAGGACGAGGACAGAGATTATGCTGGGAGTGTGCTGCTCTACGCAGGGGGGCAGTCGCCGCACGTGGGGCTCGAACGGGGGGGGAGGCGTTGCTCCCACACGCGACGTTTCCGAGCTATGGGATAGTGTTGCACCGGATTGGCCGACCCGTGGTCGGGCGACATCTGCCCCACAGCCTTTTGAGCCGCCCAAGAGTCACGAGACTCCTGGGATTGCAGCGCTGCGTCGTAGAGCCTGCCAGCGCTGCGCGGCGGGTCGGGCACGAGACAGGCACGAAGCTTGAGCAGCACGGCTCACGAGCTCGTGGCCCATGCTCCCAGCTTGCTCCAGGAGGCTTCCGCGGGTCTCCATTCATTTCTCTGGCTGGGAGGGGCGCGCCTGAAGCAGGAGGAGGAGGAGGAGGAGGATGAAGAGGAGGAGGAGGAGGAGGAGGAGGAGGAGGAGGAGGAGGAGGAGGGGAGGTGGTGGAGGAGGAGGGGGAGGAGGAGGAGGAGGGGGTGGAGGGTATGGGACGTCGGCACGCTTTATAGGCTCGGCCTCGCTAGGCTGGGTCGGAGGGGATTGCCCCTAAGCTGTGTCTTCAATCCACCGGGAATACACGCCTACACGTTCTGCGAATTCTGATCATGTTCTTAATTCGTTAGATTTTGGCAATGCTTGCTTGGTACTGCCAGTCCCCGTGCTGTTGTAGCCGGGCTCCTAAGTTAGTGCGCGTGTCCATTGCCGAATGTCCTGTCCGACGTCGAAGCACCATCGTGACGCGTTGAGCCCAAGTGGCGTGGGTCTTTTGTTGGTTCATGGCCGACAGTGGCCCAAGACCTCCCAGCTCGCCGATCAAGTGCCAGCATGTTTTGCCACAGCCAGGACATTGCTATATCTGACTCGTTGCCCCACGCTCGGCCTCCCCCTAAACCTTCTACGATTGCCCTGCAGCCAACATGTACCACTAACTTGACTATAGCTACAACCCGTACTTGGTGTATGTCTCAGGGCTCAGCCGTAAAGGTAGCTTGTTGCCACTGGTCGAGGGGTGAGGGGTAGGGGCCCCAAGGTCGCATGCTTGAGTTGCCCCTCGTGATCGAAAAAGGGGGGAATCCACGCATGCGGAATACTCCGAGTTGACAGCGCGTACGTGCACTAGCACATACTAAGCGTGCGACGCGATGCGCGCCATCAGCGCGCATATTGCGCAAGAGCCACAGATAGGCATGAAGAGTCAGGCAATTGAATGCATTAGCACAAAATGGCGCACGCACGCACTATGCAAGGGCGCGTGCAGCGAGATTGTTGTCACGCTACGCGGTAGTAGTATTATAGCGGTTCGTGACCCTGGGGGATGATCGAATTCTTTTCGGAAATCGGGAATGATGGAGACTGCAGCATTGGGCAGCCTCGCTTCGCTGGTGAATCAGTGGACATTCCCCGCAATGTAAACATGTTACACAAGCGGGCCTCCTTCTGATGAGCGATACCTCAATGGTGACGAATATCATGTCTCGCCTCGCCCTCGTCCCCCCCGCGCTACCACAACTCCAGGGATGGATCCGCATACGTTTCCCAAGGGGTGCTTGCACTCAGGGGCCCTCATTTGTGCTGCAATGATTTTGCGTGGGCTGGCGGGACGTTCGTCTGTTGCTGGCCACCGGGTCCCACCCCGTAGGGTCGATTCCGTAGGTTCCCGCTGGAATGCCGTAGGTTCCCGTTTGAATGGGCCTGGATCAGGAGGATGTTCGCATGGTGCTGGGCACACGGTCCCACTCCAGAGGGTTCACCTGAATTGGCCTTGCTCGCCGGGATGTCCGCATATTTCCGGCCATGTGGGTCCCGACCCATAGGGTCCCATTCGAATTGATTATGATCGAGGGATGTGTCTCGTGCCGCCAGTCATGGAGTCCCACCCAATCAAGTCTCATTCCTCTGGTTTCCACCCTTTTGGGTCCTACCACGTTGGGTCCCACCACATGGGGCCCAGCCCCAACCCTTCGCATCACACACTTTAGGGATCTTTAGGGTGTCACCTCATGTTGTCCCACCTCACAGGTTGTGCCGCGTAAGCTGCACAGCATCGATTGGGTTGCACAGATTCTCCTTTCCTAAAGGGTAATAGGATCGCCCCCCCCCTCAACAAAAGAAATTGACTGTACCCCTTTTCGCATTGCAATGTGCATATGATTCTGCCCCATCGACCATCAGAAATATGATTTCATAGCATCCCAGCTAAGCCGGTATCCCCCCCCCATCCTCTGCAAAAACATACTATGCGCGCAAGTTCGTTTTCCAATCATCCGTATTCAAAAACTTGTTGCAAACAAATGGACGAAATGAACACGCGCGCGTTGTCGCACGCGCAGGCGGAAATCCTTCAAAAACCTTACGTTTCGTAAGTAATTCAAAATCGAGTGTCCCGAACACACATAAGAAAACACATGGCTTCGCAACAATTTGTGTCAAAAAAAGCCTGCGCTCGCGCCCTTGATTCTCCTTTTTAAAAAAGAATAGACTCTACCCCCCCTCCGGCGTTATCGGTCCCCCTTTCGGGTATGTAAATCATGTATGATTACGACCACATGCCCATCCGAAATATGAATTTACATTATCCCCGGGGGGCCGGTATCGACCCCCCTGAGGTTCTTTTGAAAAAAACGATACGCGGGGACATTTTTTGTTCTAACATAACACTTGTTCGTGAATCCCTTGCAAAAAATGGGACGAAGTGCACACGCGCGCGCCGTCGCGCGCGCATGCCGAAATCCTTCAAAAACCTTCGGTGTCGGAAGGATGTCGCAATCGAGTTTCCAAAAAACATACAGAAACACTGGGTTTCGCAACACTGATTGCTAAAAAAGCTTACGCGCGAGCTCTTGCGAAATCTTAAGAAAACCATGGACTTTTCAAGATTTTCACAAAACGCTACCAAACGGGCTTCGCGCGCGCGCATGTCGAAATCTGTCGAACGCCCTTGCGCGTGTGCCGTCGCGAGAATCCTCTGCAAAAAATGGGACGAAGTGCGGACGCCCGCGTCGTCGCGCGCGTATGCCGAAATCCTTCAAAACCCATCGGTTTCGGATGGATTTCAAAATCGTGTGTCCAAAAAGCCTACAAAAACACAAAGTTTCGCAACACGGATTTTCAACAAAAGCGTGCGCGCGCGCTCTTGCGTCGTCGTCGTCGTCGCCGTCCTCCCTCCTCCCGCGTCGTCGTCGTCGTCGCCTACGTCGTCCTCTGTCTTTCCTCGTGTTCGTCGTCGTCGTCCTCTTTGGCGTCGTGGTCGTTTCCGTCGTCGTTGTCGCCGTGGTCGTCCTTCCTCCTCCTCTCTCGTCGTCGTCGTCGTCCGTCGTCGGCGTCTCGTCGTCGTCCCTCCTATTTCGTCGCCGTCGTCGTCGTCGTCGTCGGTGTCGTCCCTCGTCGTTGTCGTCGTCGGCGTCGCCGTCCTCCCTCCTTCTTCGTCGTTCGCGTCGTCGCCATCCTCCCTCCTCGCTCGTCGTTAACGTCGTTGTCGTCGTCGTCGCCCTCCCTCCTCCCTCGTCGTCGTCGTCTTCGTTGGAAACGTCGTCGTCGTCGTGGTCGTCGGCGTCGGCGTCGTCGTCGTCTTCGTCGTCGTCGACGTCGGCGTCGTCGTCGCCGCCGTCGTCGTCGTCGTCGTCGGCGTCGGCGTCGTCGACGTCGTCGTCGTCATCGGCGTCGTCGTCGTCGTCGTCGGCGTCGTCATCGTCGTCGTCGTCGGCGTCGGCGTCGTCGTCGTCGTCGGTGTCGTCGTCGTCGTTGTCGTCGTCGTCGAAGTCGTCGGAGACGTCGTCCGTGTCGTCGTGGTCGTCGTCGGCGTCGTCGTCGTCGTCGACGTCGCTGTCGTCGTCGGCGCCGGTGTCGCTGCCAAGTGCCATTTGGTACCTACCGTCACGGTCTTAAGAGGTTTTGCAAACCAAGTTGCGGGTGGGTGGGTGGGATGCTTGCAAGAGCACGAGATGTGTCAAATCATGGGTAAAAATCAAAGTGCACCCCATAGATTCCACCCGCTCGATTGCGCAGGGTATTTGTTTGGAGTCCACGCCGCGGAGTCAACGCCATAGCACGTTCCCTATTCTATGTCCCCCTTTTCGGGTCATCAGAATTGCGCCGAAGGGGAGGGGAAGTGGCGCCCACTGGTAAGCTACCCATCACATTTCCCGCCAGCGAGACCGACGTGTTGGACTCAGAGGCCCCCGCGGCATTTCACTTGCTGTGCCGTCTTCCTTGGTTAGCCGTTTGTTGCTTGGGCCAGGTCGAGTGGCGTTGACGGGGTGGCAAATTGAGCAGAACATTACGCGCAACGGAAGCGCTCGCAGCCCCCATCCGACCACCAACCCTCACTTTGTATTCAGAACTCGGTGGGCGAAGGTTGGGGCGAATTTCGATGCGCCCTGTCGTGCTGCCGTGTGAAAATATTGTCAGCAAGCGCAGGGCGGCTCAAAGTTTAAGATGTCTTCTTTAGCATCGCCCGTCATTCAGATGTTGAGCTTGGAGACTGGCGGGGAGGGTGCGATTCCGTTTGCTCTCTACGAGAGTTGGCGGTGTGCAAAGCGTACGTCTCAACGGTACGTGGTTGTTTGGTTGTTTGGGTGTTGTAATTCAATTGGTTTCGAGGTTCCGCCGTTGCTATTGTTGGGCTCCGCCTGACACGAAGCAACTTGAAGGACTGTGCCCACAAGAGACATGGAGGTTGACGTTGCCGAAGTGGACAGAGCATTGATTGTAAGACGGCGTTCTGTCAAGTTGCGCCAGCATTCGCGAATGTTGTCTGCTGGTTGCTGACCCTTCTGGTGCCAGGTGTGCTTCGGTTCGTGCAGATTGTTTGTACCAGTTCTTGCCGATGGCGTTGCCTGCCCAACTCGCCCTACACTGCTGGGCTCTGCTATACTCCAACATTGCCTGATCGACTCTAGTATGATACAACTTGCCCTGCCTCACAATACATTCATCGATATTGCCGTATGCTGCCCCTGTCCTAGCTTGTGCAATCATAACCCACAAACCTAGATGTTCTGTATTATGATGATCGACTCTGTTCCTCTACCCCTCTATTTCTTTGCTACTCTGGCATGCTCCACTCCCCTACTTGCATGATCATATGATCCTCTGCCATTCTAGGTGCCCACATAAGTATCCCCTCTTGCCTTGCCAGACCACGTCCAGTTTAGGCCATGGTTCATAGTTCGCATTTGCTTCTTGGACTAAACTGTTCACTCCAGATGTGAAGACATACAAGTCAGTACGCAACCCGATCCGACCAGGTCACAGTGTATGCGAAGAACCTTACGCGGTGGGCACGTTTTGAATTGAAGTAAGAGCCCTTATGAACAATACAAATATGCGGTTCACGTGCGAGCGCGTGAAGATATTAAATTGCATCAGTTGCGGAATACTGAAGTTCCTGATACGCCTATCTAAACCATGGGTTCTGCAATCAACAAATTTCCAAGATGTATGGTCGCGTGCATTTGCCAATAGCGGAGCAGGGTACGAAGTGGCAGTTATCTAAATCTTGGATGAACTCGTCAATGGTGAGGGGGTGTCGAAGGTGGTGTCGCGCTGAACTTAGCGCTTGTAAGCAAGCGCGCGCTTCGCTGCAGTCACTGCCTCTGGCACGAAGGATGAGTTTTATCCTGCTACCTGCGGCAAGTCCCGCCACCGTTCCAGCCCAGCATTCTGAGTCGCGACTGTTCGAAGAGGCACAGGAGGCCGTCACGTGTGACACCTCGTGTCTCCAGGCTTGGGGGAGCCGTGATGAGGATGAGGATGATGAGGTTGAGGAGTAGGCCGGGGTCAGGAGACGGAGGAGCAGGAGAGGGAGGAAGAGGAAGAGGAAGGCCGTCACATGTGTCGATTCCGTCTTCATTATTGGGGGAGTTCTCATGGAACCCGATTGGGTCGTCTTGGGGTTGCTTTAGGCAGTGTTGTGGGCCCTTTGGGGCCATCTTGGGCCGTCTTGTTGCCCTCTTACGCCGTCTTAGGGCTCCCTTTGGGCCGTCGTGGGGCCATCTTAGATGCCTCTTGGGCCGTCTTGAGCTGACGCAAGCCCGAGAAGGCGAGAATGCGAAAATCCTTCAATTTCTTAGGGGGGAATCCATGAGTGTGGCGTGTTCTGACCCTGGTGGCGGTCCTCATGTGGTTCGGCCTTCTTGGAGGCATCTTGGGCCACCTTGAGGTCATATTGAGCCGTCCTGGGGCAACCTGGGGCCGTCTTCGAGGCATATTGGGCCATCGTGGCGTGCCTTGGTTGCTTGCACTGGCCATCTTGGAAGCTCGCGAACCCATTGTTTTGAATGAGGGATCGTGGCCTCGGGAGGGGGCGGGCACGGGAGGAACCGTTAGTAGAGGGGGGGGTCTTTGTTAGAAGCTAGCAGCGTGACCAGGCAGCATGTGGCGTGGCATTATACAACCCCTCAACGTGCCAGGGGGGCATGGTGGCAGAGGATGCGAAGGGCAGTGAAGCAGAAAGGATCAGCCAATGGAGATTCCAAAGAGATCGTAAGATTAGAATGAAGTGGCGCACCACCAAGCACGGGTCCAGTAGTGATCCGGATGTTTCTACCAACGCGTCTTACAGATGCACGGTTTTTGACCTGACCTGGAGTGGATTGAAGTAGATTGGATTGGAGTAGATTGCATTGGGGTGGTCTGGTGGACTGACCTGGACTGGATACAGGTCTAGACTGGATTAGAATTGGGTTGGGATGGACTGGGCTAGACTAGACTGGACTGGCGTGGATTGGACTCGACTGGTGGACTGGACTGGGGTGGACTTGGCTGAGCTGGAGTTGGCTGGAGTGGCCTGGACTGCATTGGGCTGGACGGGGCTGGAGTGGACTGGCCAGAACTGGGCTGGGCCGGACAGGACTGGACTGAACTGCATTCTAAATGTTCTGGACTCGATTTTGCTCTACCCGGTTCTACTCTATTCCATCCTATCATATGTTGTACAAGTTTATTATACCGGATTCGATTTTATCATCTACCATAATAGACGTTGTTTCGTTCTACAAGATGACATCCTACTCTACGTTGCTCTAGTAGATTCGGCCCTACTCTACCAACTGACATACTCTATTCGATGTTGTTCGACCCAATTCAACTCTACAAACTGTTGCATTATGGTATGTTGTATTCTCCCCCGATCTACCCTACCCTGACCTACTCTGGTCGACCCTACGATGACATATCCACACTGTGTATTGGTTACTGCGCCTACTCTGCCACCTGGCCGACCGATGGCAACCGAATGCGGGATGACCCATCATACAGTCGGGTTGATTCGTAGGTCGACCCTGCCAAGCCAAGAGTACCCTTGTGTCCCGTGCTTCGCGACCCGTGCCTTCTACATTCCTGCGGCAACGTGGCCCTCGGAAGGGTCTCGTGCCCTCTCGCGTGTCCTCTCCAATCCACCCCGACTGTAGTTCGTCCCAGGAAGCATGCAGCATCCAATGTTGTTGTGTGCCAACATGGACATCGTGTCGTCCGTGTTGCGAGACGCATGGCAGGAGTGGGGCAGGGCGCCCATCCCGCGCGAAAGGGCGAAACGCCGCTCTTCTCGCCTCGGCGCCGCTTCCGCGCGTCCAGGAATGGAGCCCCCCCCTCGTGGGTGCGGCGCACGGCTTCCGCGCGCAGCTCCGTCGACGCGCGAGCGATGCGAGCGGCGCCGTTCAGGTCTCGCCTGAAAAAGTGGAGCACCCGCCTCGCCGCGGCGCATACTTTTCCTTGGCATCGCTCGGACGTGTCCATGTTTCCTTCGGCGAGGACCATCGAGGAGCGTCCTTGATCACTTGGCGAGAAAACCACGCACGAAACCAAAAAAAAAAACACAAAGGGAATGGACGTCCGAGCGATGGCCAGTCACCCGCCAGTGGTGGGGGGTGGGCCCGCGCGAGGGGGGCGACCTGCCGCCCCCCTCGCAGGCGTTCTGGCGCGGGCGCAGCGCAGGGTCTGGCCGCGGGATCGGAGGAAGGCGACGGCGGCGGCGGGGCCGCGCGAGAGCGGACGAACTGGGAGGAGGAGGAGGAGGAGGAGGAGGAGGAGGAGGAGGAGGAGGAGGAGGAGGAGGAGGAGGAGGAGGAGGAGGAGGAGGAGGGAAGGAGGAGGAGGAGGAGGAGGAGGAGGGCGAAACCGGGCGAAATGCCGACCTCGCCCGAGCGCCGCGCAGTTGATGAGTGAAGGTGGCAGGTGCTGTGTCAGCGCGGCGCGTGCTTCGCCTTCACCGCGCCCATCGGAGGTCTCTCTCCCTTCGCCAAGTGATCGGAAGTGCGCCGCGTGCGAGGTTGGGAGCGCGTTCCAATCCCAATATCGAGTTGTGCCACAAGTTTCGGGAGGGGAAAAACACACGGACACAATGAATCGTCGATTCCCACGAAAATATTTATAAAAATATGGGCAGTGGGGGGGAGACGAAAACCCAGAAAATACACGAAATTGTGGGGAATCTTGGGATTTGTGCGTATGTACTTGTGCGGCCCTGGGCCCCTTGCAATGTGCTTTTATGCTGTGGGGGAAGGGTGGGAGTGAGCGGGGCCCTCTGACTCGCTCGACGTGGCTAGCTTGGCTCTGCTCCTGCTCCGCCCCTGCTCTGAAATACTCTACGCTGCTCTACTCTGCTCTGGTCGTTCTGCTCTACTCGCCACTGCAAGCCAAGGAGGGCATGCGGGCACGAGGAAGCCGTGCGGAGACCAGGAAGCCATGCGGATAGCAGCGGGCACGGAGCGAGCCATGCGGACACGAGGAAGCCGTGCGGATGCGAGGAGGACATGAAGATACGAAGAAGCCGCGCGGACACGAGGAAGTCATGCGGGCACAGGAAGCCATGCGGACACGAGAAAGTCATGCGGATAGCAGCGGATGCAGAGCAAGCCATGTGCATAATTTGACCGCGCCGGGGCAAAATAGAGGGGTGCTACAGTGGACCAGCTATCCGGGGATTAAGTCCGGATTCTTATAGGCAAGCAAATCTGGAGAAAATGTATGAGTGGGCGGGCGCACGGGTATGATCGTCATGGGGGGCGGGTGCAAGTATCAATGTTCTCTTCTTCTGGTAATTACTTTTCTCCTGTAAGTCGGACCAAACCCTACCACGCCGTACCCGCCACCGTGTCCGATCACAGCAGTTACCAGTGTGGATCCCGCATGCCTTCTGCACCCAAAACCCCGTATTAGACCGAATGCATGTCATCG